GACATCGCGTCTGCGCGTCTGCCTCATGATAATGCTGCTCTAGACATAACTTCACCCCAATGGGATTCTTCCGTCACGTAGCTGGTGTGTAGGAGGAGGCCACAGATGAAACCGTGCATGTCTCCGATCTCTCATGGAGAAGCACACAGCAGGCTGGACGGTCGCTTCTGGCGAACTCACGCATTAAGCACATCTTGTTACCATAACCAGTGTTAAGGAGTAAGCATTTCTATTTTGAACTCTCATTGCAGAGGTGGGCTGAGCCGTATAAATTTTCATAGCGGTGATTTGTTTATTTTATGATTTCCCTTCCTGACCTTGCGTCTCCCCAGCTCTCCAAGAGGCAGGCTATTTGGCTCATTACTGGTTTATTTGAACTTGTGCAATTCAAATCTGACTTTTTTCAGAATACAACTTGTCATGCATCCAGAGGCACATTTTACAAGCACCTTTGGTGTATAGAACTGTACAAGACTCCAAATACACCGGCCTGAAAAGGAGGGTCTGTTTACAGGTCATGAAGGTTTTTTATCTCGCTTCTTTACAGACTCTGACTCCAGCTTCCTATGAAGCTGATGAGTACATTGATGCCAAAATCTGGTGTAGGGTTTACCTGAGGCAGAAATAGAGGGTAAGGGGTCCGTCTCAGTGCCCCCAACTTCCCTTTGTCTCTGCCTTCCATGACAGGCTTCACCTTCCTTTCCTCAGGCCACAGTCTTCTAATGACCATCCCACCTGACAGATAAAAAATTATGTGTATGTCGATAAATGATGGAAAGGATAGACACACACTCACATACACACACATTTAATACACTTTATTTTTTAGAGTACTTTTAGGTTCGCAGCACTATTGAACAGAAAGTACAGATGTTTTCCATATACCCCCTACCTGCACTCATGTGTGACCTCCCCCATTATCAGTATCTGGGGATAGTACCTTTGTTACAATTGATGAGCCTATACTGAAACATCAAAATCGCCCAAAGTCCATAGGTTACATTAGAGTTCACTCGATGTTGTACATTCTATAGGTTTGCACAAATGTGTAATGACATGTATGCATCATTATTGGGTCATAACAAAGTATTTTCACTAGTATTCTCATGTGTTGCCCTAAAAGTCCTCTTGCTTTGCCCATTCATCCCTCCCATTCCCCTCTAACCTGTGGCAACCACCGATCTTTTTACTGTTTTTTTTTTTTTTTTTTTTTTTTTTTACTTTTTACTTTTTTTTTTTTTTTATATTTTTTGAATTATACAGTGTGTTGCTTTTTTTGATTGGCTTCTTTCACTTAGTAATAGGCATTTAAGGGTCCTCCATGTCTTTTCATGGCTTGATAGCTCATTTGTTTTGGGCATTGGGTAACATTCTGTTGTCTGGATGGACCACAGTTTGTTTACCCATTCACATACTGAAGAACATCTTGGTTGCTCTTAAGTTTGGGCAGTTATGAGTAAGGCTCCTCCAAGCATTGTGTGCATGGTTTTGTATGGACATAAGTCTTCAACTCCTTTGAGAAAATACCAAGGATCACAACTGCTGGGTCATATAACCTTGATATATTTTGCCCTCTTCTAAAAGACTGAGAGTTTAACTGGGCAGTTATTCCAATATAAAGGAATGACAATCTAAGAAAATTTATGAATTGGCCAGTGGTATTAGATGGATTGGGGAAGGTTGGACCTATCTAGTCCCCTTGATTCCATTCTTGGTGAGTGGTAGTAAGATGCTGTAGCCACGAGTAAGACTGGCCCATGGGCAAAAGTTGGCTTGAAGTCAGATTAAAAGGACAGTCTACTTCATTATTTAATGGAATTGTGTCACAAGCTTGCTCAGAAAGAGACTCAGCCTCTGAAATCTTGACATCCCATTTTCTGGCCTTTTCCACTTCATCTTAGGACCACTGTTGTTCAGGCTTGATGTTAATGGAGTGGAAGTTGCAAACTCCTGCATCTTATTCTCTGAGCACATGTCTTATGTTTTTTCTTCCTCAACCCCCTTGCCTACTGGCCAGTAAGAACTGAAGGCCCCAGGTAGTGTTCTTTTCCTCTGTACTTCCGTACTTATCCATCCATCCCGGCAAATTGGTTTGCTTTCCCCAATCTATACAAACATGCACACTAAATTCATCTTACAAAAGCTCTTCCTTAACATCTTATCTTCCTCCAGGCACCACCCTGTTTCATCCTTTGTGAAAGGAATGACTAAATGTTCAACAAACCCATACTTTCCCTTCTTTTAGTGTAGAGATGTTGCCAAGAAGTGGGCATCTATTTTCAGACTACTTTGTCTTGAGGTGGAGTGTAGTGACCAGTCCTTGTTGATGGGATAGAAGTGTTCCTTTGGGAGAGGTGAGGGAGAGTGGAGTGACAAGGGGGACGAATCTTGGGTGTCCAGATCATCCCTGGAGACCCTTCTGACAACTGCATTGGATTCTTGCAGAAGCAAGAGTAAACGTCTAAGAAGCTAGTGAGACCTGTGAGCTTATTCGTTATAGCAACTCATGTTACTCTAACTCAGGGTTCAACAAGCTACAGCCTGTGAGCCACATTGGCACGCTGCCCCATTACCTATCTTTATAAATAGAGTTTTGTTGGAACACAGCCGTGCTCACTCATTCACATGCTCACTGTGACTGCTTTTGTGCTACAGCAGCAGAATTGAGTCGTTGTGGCCAAGGCTATGTGGCTGTCAGAACTGAAAATGTTTACTGTGTGACTCTTTGAAGGCAAAGTTTGCCAACTGATGCTCTAAGTACTATTTGAGCTTCAAATGTCTGCTGAGAAAGCAACCCCAAGTGGATGAGTGAGAGTGGTACAGTGGAGGGCAGAGGTAGACGACAGACACCCATGGATGTGGCCCTTCATTAGCTGATAGGAGAGCCCCAAACGCCCCCAGACTTTTTCTACACACACACACACACACACACACACACACACACACACACACACACACACACACACACACACCCCCCCCCCCCCCCCCCCCCCCCCCCCCCCCCCCCCCCATCAAAGGGAGGCGCGTGCTCTCTCATGCATCTTCGCTTACCCAAAGGGGTCGTCTAATCAGTGATTCTCAAACTTGAGTGTGCATCAGAATCACCTGGAGGCCTTGTTAAACACAGACGGCCGGGCCCGCCGCTGGGGTATCTGAGTCAGCAGGTGTGGGGTGGGGCCTGAGTCTCTGCATTTCCCACCAGCTCCCAGGTGGTGCTGGGAATCATGTCTTGGGAATCACTGGCATAGATTATTGGATAGGACTATGCTTTGCACTGGATTGGACACAAAGATAGTGTTTTTCTTGCCCATTCGGTGGGGGTTAGAGGGGAGAGCTTATCATGGGAGGGAGGTGTGATTATTTATGGATAACCACCAAGTGCTTTCGCTGCTCATCCAAGCTGTAGTGTGAGTTCTATGACTCTGGCACTCTAAAAAGCTTTAAATTTTTAAATTAAAATTTTTTTCAGTACTTGTGATTTTTCTAAAGCAGTCGCTACTGGAGAATAAGCAAAACCATACATTAGGATGGGTCATCTATGGTTTGCTAAAGGCTGATCTCCCTGCAGACCAGGAGCATATAAGCAAAGATGGCGAAACCTTAGGTTAGCAGCAGGACCTCGAGGCTAAGTGTGGGCTGTGACGTTGGGTAGCGAGGTGCCCTGAAGGCACCGTGCATGTGGCTGTGTGACGGTCTCAGCCCCAGTGTTACTGGGGTCTCCCCCTAGGGCCTTCCCCCTTTATTTCTCTCTCAGCTGCTGCCCTTCTAAGTAGGAGCCTGTAGGTTTTGTGTCGGCCAGGTTTCTTCTCTGAGAGTGATGTGGGGCGGGCCCTGGAGGTGGGACTCATTTTGAAAGTCTTCTCATTCCTGTCAAAACCATAGGTGGCCTCTCATCAGAGGCCTTGCAGTCCAGGAATTGCAGGTGGTAGACTTTAAAATCAAGTGTTGGGCAAAGGCAGAGGGAGGGGAAAAGTGGAGAGTTGGAATCTGTCCATCAAACATTCCTACAGCAGCAGTGGTGGCTTCAGTTAAAAGCTTCCCATCTGCTATTTCACCGGGGGTCTCTATTTAACTCTTTCACATATAACTTAAATAAGCAGAACTCTATATTAAAAAGATCGTGTCCTTCTAATGCATTCGTGAATTGTACAACTGGTGGCATGTTCGGTTCATACTAACTACTTCTCTGCCTGTTATTTTCATAAGGACAGACACTGCATTTCCATGGCAGGGTCCATAGTGCAAAAAATGGTTCTGTACATTGGGGAAGTTAACTTGAATGAGGTCTAGAAATTTACCTGGTGATTTTTACTACCTGATGGGCCAAGCAGATCTCTTACTAAAAAAAAAAAAGAAAAAAAAAAGAAAAAAAAAAAAACTATCTCCATTATTGTTATGGTACCTTCCTGTTGTGGTTTTAGCTCGTATAGGTGTCTAGCATCATGGCCTTTTCCCCCAACCATAAAGGTTTAGATCAAGGCTCACTAAGCATTTTCTGTAAAGCACCAGAGAGTACATATTTGCAACTATTCAATTCTGTCATTAGAGTGTGAGAGCAAGCATAGACAAATTGATGGCTCTTGCTGTGTCGCAATAAAACTTTATTTACAAGAACAGGCAGGACCAGATTTGGTTTGCACATCCATAGTTTGCCGTCCAGTGGTTTAATCAGTGCATACAGATTACCTGGGGAACTTATTAAAATGAAGTTTACGGTGTTCAGAGGTGAGGGAGAGAAATTTTGCATTTCTAACAAGCTCCCAGGAGTTGCCGCCGCTGTTCACCCTTAAGCCACATGTTGAATATGGAGGATTTCGATAGCATCTGCTTTTCGTAAATAGATTTGGCAATTGAAATGAACTGGGGAAGGCTGGTGATGATTCCAGTGAGCGGCACAATTTTACAAAATCTCAGAGAGAACCTGAAAAGCGGTATTTAAACTCAGAAGCAGACTGTAGGAATGATGCTTTATTTAGAAATATCTTCCAACCAACCAAACCTGTGAAACTTGGGTATTCTTGTAATGCCTTCATTCTTGTGCAGCTTCCTGGAATCTATTTATTTTTGAAACCATCCAGGAAGAATCCAGGTAATTAAAAGGGAGCCTCATTTTCTGCATGACCTTGGATCTGTTGCTTGACCTTCCAACACCTGGGGGGCAACACAAATGTACTTATCAAATGGTGTCAAAACAAGATCTTACTGGGGCGCCTGGGTGGCTTAGTCGGTTAAGCGTCCGACTTTCGCTCAGGTCATGATCTCGCGGTTCGTGGGTTCGAGCCCCGCATCGGGCTCTGTGCTGACTGCCAGCTCAGAGCCGGGAGCCTGTTTCAGAGTCTGTATCTCCCTCTCTCTCTGACCCTCCCCTGCTCACGCTGTCTCTCTCTCTCTCTCTCTCCTAGAAATAAATAAAACATTAAAAAAAATTAAAACAACAACAACAACAACAAGATCTTACTGGAAAACAGATGTTGGGTCAGCATTTCCCCACATGCTGGAGAACTGAAATCCTGCAGGTAGCTCAGACTCAACCTATTAATAATGATGCGTTTTCCAAACACCAGAGATCGAATACGAAGGACTAATTATTCTCAGATTTGAGAGAGGTTAAAAAAAAGCCCTTACTTACAGAAGAAGAGCCAGGGTGAGACCCACCACAAACCCCCCCGAACGTGTGGAACTACCTTTAAAGGATGAAATGAGCTTTCCCTGAGCTTTCTGTCAAGCACGTGAAGTGACACCTGCTCTGATAGCATTTGACGCCACGCGCTTGATCGCTTGATCCTGCAAACCGGTTTAGCTCATTGGAATCCTCACCAGCCTTCTCTGCCTCCTCCTCCCCGCTTCCTGCATCTCTGCCCAATTCCAGTAATTCTTTCCATATGGAAATTGACATTGCCAAATTTGAGACCCCCTTCTTTGGCGGATTGTTGGAATCAATTCCATGTGTATAACTTATCTGGCAGTTTTTGTAACATGTGGCTGAGGGGTCTGGAATTATTTTGAGTTTCAGGTTTTAAAAATAACAGGCAATTTTGACCCTCTCGGAAGATTTGCTACTACTGGACTCTCTCCCGGGACGTGCAGGTAGGGATCAGGTTTCCTGCCTGTCATTTCAAAGCACCCTCCTAGGGAAAAAGACTTTATGTTGGCGACTGTTTGCATAAGGCGTTCGTTTTGGTTGACCTTTCGTCTGCCGTTTCAGTGGTCTGTCATGGATTGGCCCTCTCTGTAAGGAGCTGCCCTGGGTAAGAACATTCTAACTGTGGCTGCTTCTGGGTGTAGGTCCCTTGGGAGGAAGTGTGGCCTCAGGGTTAGACCCAACAAGGGTCTCAACAGATAGACTCACAGTCAGCTGTCTTTCTCATCAGCTTACCTCCATGTAGCCATTTTTATGTTTTGTAGAACACATGTAAAATGTTCCATCTTTGAAGAGTGTGCTGGAGATAAAAACTATGGTTATTTATTGGAGCATACCACCACCAGAAATACCTGGATGTCCCCTAGAAGTTGACAGATTACTGGGGCACATGGGTGGCTCAGTTGGTGGAGCGTCTGACTTGATTTTGGCTCAGGTCAGAATCCCAGGGTCTTGGGATGGAGCCCTGCCTCGGACTCCGTGCTGAGCACGTAGTCTGGTTGAGATTGTCTCTCGCTCTCTCTTTCTCTACCCCTTCTCTCCCCACTCGCATATGCTCTCTCTCTCTAAAATAAAATAAAAAAAGAAGTTGACAGATTACCTTCAGCTTGCACTTCTAAGAGCAAACGGGTACAAAAGGGGTAAGCAGAATTCTCACAAAAGAGAGAGCAGTGCTGTGAGATCCCTGAGAGAATAGAGATCGCTATTTTGCTTTGACTTTCCATGGAGTTTCTTATATAGTGAAATGAAAGACTTTTTTTTTCAGGTACCACAAAAGATGAAAGGTGCTTTTGGCTTTGCTGGGGTATTTTGTCTGTGGACACTGGCCAGTATCAGGCTAGGAGAATATTCAAATAGCTTTGTGTACAAACATTTTCTGGGGGTGCCTGGGTGGTGCAGTCGGTTGGGTGTTTGACTTTGGCTCAGGTTATAGTCTCATGGTTCGGGAGTTCAAGCCCTGTGTCGGGCTCTGTGCTGACAGTCCGTAGCCTGCTTGGGATTCTGTCTCTCTCTACTCTCTCTGTCCTTCCTCTACTTGTGCTTCCTCTCTCTCTCAGAATTAACAAATAAACTTAAAAAAATTATGCTATGGAAATCAATGCTTTTTTTATTTGCTGAATCTTGGCTGTACCACCATCTTAGACATATTCACATTAGTAATATCAAGGTATTGGGTGGTTCTTTTGAGAAGGTACATTCAAGTAGAAATGTGTCATATGCAGTTAGGTTCTAATAAATGGCCGCCATTGTGTATAAGACATAATGAGTTAATCATGTATACCACTTGGAGGGATTCTCCTGGTGATGAGGAGAAAAAAGTATTGTGAGGGTGCTTTTTTGGGGGTGTGAGGTTTGAGGGTGTAAGGATGGCAATGGCATTTCTTAATGGTTCTTCTGTGTAGTTGGCTGTCTGGGCTGGAACATTCTAGGTGTAGCTCCTGATAGTCCTTGGTAAGTGTGGGAAATGCAGGACTCATCATGAAATGGTCTTGCACAATGGCACGTGAGTTTTGCGAGCTTCTGGGGAACGAGGAATGTGGGATTCGATGGTTCTGAGGGCACAGATGAAGGGCCCAGTCAGTCAGGAGGAGCACAGCCCTTGGATCTGGTTGGTGTATGCTGCTATGTTCTGTGTGGCTTAAGAAGGCAGGCAGGGGAGACATAGAATCATATTTCCTGCTGGTGTGCAGGCTTCTGCCCAGGTTTTCCCAACATGGCCCCAGAAGAGAAGACTGGCCACACTTTAACAATTCCAAAATGTACATTTTTGCTGGATTTCATATTTCTAAAACCAGAGTGCTTCTTACAATCCATATCTCATAATTATTGTTATTCTCTTCTCCTTCTTAGCATTACCTAAATGAAGAATGTGTTTTACAGTTGATACTCTCCCATAGTTGGTGAAACGTGATAGATTTGGGCTCATGAAATCGGAATGAGAAATCGATAGAATGAAGTACTCCCATCTTCTAGAATGAGAAATCGATAAAATGAAGTACTCCCATCCTCTAGAATCAGAGGGCCTGAGAGAGAACACCATGAAACACTTGTGTTTTCCCCAACCCTCATGTCTAAAGAAAGTCCTGGATCCCTTTACTTAGAGCTAGGATTCTCAGAGTGGTGTTTTCTAGCGGCATCAGCATCACCTGGTACCTAGTGAATTGGAAATTCTGGGGGAGAGCCCTCCAGTGTGGGTTTGAAGAAGCCTCCAGATGATCCTGATGCATGCCCAAGTTTGAGAGCCACCAAACAAGGGCTCCCATGTGGTTCTCCTGGACCGGTGTTGTCAGGGCGTCCGGTGTAAGCTCTTCAGTGTTCCTCCCTAACTTCGCCTCTCCCCGTCTGAAGCCATTTTGTCCTTTGTAGTCAGTGATGCATGTGACAGCGTGTTCTGCTCTCTGCCCTCTCATCGGCAACTTGTCCTGCAGGCTCCGCCTTCTGTCTGTCCCGTAGATGGTGTTCTTCTGCAGGTAGGTCTGGCCTGGATCACCTCCTCCTTTCTCTCTGCTCACTCTCTCCAGCCGGCCCTCTTGATGCCAGTGGGTTCAGTGCACTTCTCTGCCAGTGGCTCCTGAACTTATATCTGTAGTGTGAGGTGCACACTATGTAATCGCATGTACCTCAAATGCAGTGAACTAGAACACTAGTCCTTGGCTTTTTCTTCAAGCCGGATTCTTCCTATGATTTCTTTCTTGGTGCCTGGTTCCACCATTTCACCTCCCGCTTCAGGTGGAAACGCGCTGGGATTTCTGTACTTCTCCCTCTCTCTCATGACTGACTCATTACCCACCACATGTCATTCCTGCCTCCTAATACCACTTCAGGGCATTCCATCCTGTCCACATCCATGCCCAGGGCCCTGACTAGGTCCGTTGTTCTCCCTTCTGCAATATTGCAAGGATCTCTCTTGCTATTTTTTTTCCTGCCTCCAGGCTTACTCCATTCCACTTAATCCATTCATGCTGGTCAGCTTAGAGAGACATTGCTCATGTGGAGATCTGACAGTGAAATTCCTTTATCTAAAAAGTCTCTAATGTCTTTTCATTTGCTCAGTGATATTTCCCAGTCTGGATCCCTTGCAGAGCCCTCTTCTTAGGAGATTGCTGCCTGTTTGGGAATTGCTGCTCACAAGGTTTCTTTTTGGAAACCCATAACCACCTTTGGCATTTTAAATGTTTCAGGAAATCCGGAAGTCAAGAACTCATTCGGGTTTGACCTGGTATTTCCCATGGTCTCAGTTGACCCCGAGCCTCCCACACATCAGCCTTTAACATCCTGTGACATTTGTGCTCTCAGTGCATTCTGGGAAAGTCTATACTTTCCATGTAAGTCTTGTCATGACTTTGCTCTTCAGTCTCATTTTCCACAAATCTCTTGACTACATTTTCACTGACATTGATTTTGAAGTTTAATTTCCTAAAAATGTCACATTACCTTGTGCCCTTGGATTTTCAACCTCTGTTTTGATCTCTGAATGAAATGCCTTTCGTTCTTCTTGTCCCCTGGAAAATTCTCTGTTGTCATTCAGGCCTCAGCTCAACTATCATTTTCTCCAGGAAGCCCTCCCTGATTGCTCTAGACACACTTGGGTGCCCTGCTCTGGTGCCTTGTCTCTTGTTTGCATTTTCATCAACACGATCTCCTTACAGGCTGTCACCTTCTTGGGGGCAGTGGCACTGGTTTAACAGAACGTCAGCACAGAATGTTAGTAAATAGTAGCTGACGGGAAGTGGGAGCATGAAAAAGTGTATGAGGAGTGGTAGCTTCTGGCTGTAATGATGTTAAGAGCCACTCCTTATAAACGCAATTATTACAAAGCAGCACTGTTTCAGATGTTCTAGCTGTGCTATCCCGTGTAGTCCTCATATCGCCTTGGTGAGGGAGGCATTCGCATATTGTGCCCATTGCTCAAGTGTGGTAAACGTGAAGGGTTTGGGGACGGCCTGCGGGTCCCCTGCAGGTGGAGGTGAAGGGCAGCTCTCATCTGTGTGAGGGACGACACCTCTTCTAGACAAGTAGGGTAAATATGTGGCATGATCTCCCCACACCCACCCTTGTCAGGAAGGAAGAAGTTCTTAACCTTCTCTAGGAAATGAGTACGTTTGCCTAGAAATTTTTTGGCTGCTCAGTGTTACTTGCAACTTGTTGGCAGATTTAATGGAGCCGTTGTTCTCATTGGTTATAGCAGCCCAAGCTGCTGGTGCCAAGGGTTTCTTTTAAATCGAGTGGGTCACTTTGCGGTAGTGGTTCTCAGCTGGGGGTGATCACACGTCCTCGGAGACGTTTGGTCATGTCTGGAGATAATTTTGGCTGGCACGGCTGGGGGAGGGGTGTTGCTGGCATAGGGTGAGCGGAGGCCAGGCGTACTGTTCCCCACCCTACATGCACAGCATGGCTCTCGACAGTGCACGAGTATCCAGCCCCAAGTAGCAATAGTGAGGAGCTGAGAAAGCCTACTTTATACTTACGGGTTCCGACTTACAGCATAACATCTTAGAAATGAAACAGAAGACGTAAAGATCAAACATCACGAGGTGAAGTGGCAAACAGGGTGTGTCAGGAGCTGGCCGTGGGGGCATCCCTGAGCTTTAATGAGCAGGGCACAATGAAGGTTCTCAAACAAAAGGCGGGGCCAGGACCCTGACACTCCATTAAGTGACAAGAAAGGTGGGACTAAGGGCATTACTTACGCATAAGAAACCTGCAGACTATTCACGCTTGTTTCTGGAAATCCCTGAAAGGTTTCCTTTAAATGTTGTTCTTAGGGAAGCATCCTAGAAATATCACTCCTTGAGAAATGTCCTAGAATGATAACAGCAGGGAGAAAGAGATTGGTTTCAGTAAATGGAAAGATAAATGGGAAAAGGATAGTCAGATGCATGACTAATGCATGCCCACATTTGATGGGACCGATAAGATGTATACAGTGTGGCAAAGAAATTGAATTTGTAGATCGTTAAGTGTATTCAAGAAGAAGCCAACCAGAGTAGGGACCTCTAAAGTGATGGGTATAAATCTCTAAAGAGGATGTTTGTAATAGCTTGTTTGCACATGGGAAGAAAATATTAGAACATTTTCTAAGAGTAAAAAGTAAATGTAAAAAAAAGAATAAAAAGTAAATATCAATACCAGAAAGTCGTTAGCATTATTAATATCTATACAGATCAATACTGGAGCTCACGTTCAAGCTGTGTGGTAGACTTCCCAAGTCAGAAGCAGGGTGAGAGAGAATCTAATGGTAAAATACCCAAAACACTGGCTTGGGTCACACCTTGCCCACAGGCTGGTAAGTGAATCTAGAGATTACGTCGTATCTAAAACTAACCCCAAAGCATTTTTAAATAGCTTAAAAAGATGTCTGAAAAGAAATCTACACACAACCTACCAAACTCAAGAGTAATTCTTCATGTACAAGTGAACCACAAGAATGGTTAACTTGTATTTGTTCTTTGACACATTGTGAAATTACGGCATTGTGTCCATCAGATCTGACAAAAGTTGAGGAAAAAAGAAAGAAAAAACAACACTATCAGGAAAACTCTAGGAAATACGTTTTTTTTTTTTAATGTTTTATTTATTTCTAGGAGAGAGAGAGAGAGAGCGTGAGCAGGGGAGGGTCAGAGAGAGAGGGAGTCACAGACTGAAACAGGCTCCAGGCTCTGAGCTGGCAGTCAGCACAGAGGCCACCCAGGCGCCCTGGAAATACGGTTTTATATCCAAGTTCATTAATGAGAGATACTTTCCTAAGTATATATTTGTGCTGTGAGACATCACTTAGAGAAATGGGTACCGGTAGATCATTTGTAAATAAAGAAACAAACATGTTGCAAGTGCAAGCTCTAGCTTGAATATTTGTGAGCCTTATGGCCAATGACAAGGTACTGGTGTTTCTTTCTATTTTACTTATTTATTTTTATTTAATGTTTTTTTATTTCTGAGAGAGAGAGACAGCATGAGCAGGGGAGGGTCAGAGAGAGAAGGAGACACAGAATCCGAAACAGGCTCTAGGCTCTGAGCTGGCTGTCAGCACAGAGCGGGGCTCGAACCCATGAACTGTGAGATCATGACCTGAGCTGAAGTCGGACGCTTAACCGACTGAGCCACCCAGGTGCCCCTGGTGTTTCTTTCTATTGATGGATGAATTATTTTTTATGCTCAGCTTTATCGATGTATAATTTATGTCTAATAAAATGTACCCATGTTAGGGGTACAGTCTGGGGAGTTTTGACAACCGTGTACAGCCATGCGATCACCATCACAATCCTGATAGAGTAGTTCTGTCACCACCCCCCCCCGCCCCCCCCGCCAAGTTCCCCTGTACCCGTGCAGTCTGTGCACCTCCCTGTCCTAGTTTCTGGCAAGCACTGATTTCTGTCCATAGTTTTGCCTTTTCCAAAATCGCATATGAGCTGAATTTTCTGTATGGAGGCTTTGGGGTCTGACCTGTTTCCCTTAACACAATGCCTTCAAGGTTCCTGCGGTCCTTTGTGTGCCTCCGTGGCCCTTCCCTTTTTATCGCTGGATAGGGATGTCCTTGTATGGAGGTCCTTACAGTAATTTGTTTATCCACCTGTCACTGGAAGAACACTCGGGTGTTTCCAGGTTTGATGATCACGAATAATGTCCCTATATGTACGTGCAGCCACGTTTTGCGTGGACATGCATTTTCATTTCGCTTGTGTACATATCGTGGAGTCTGATTGCTGCGTCATGCGATCAGTGCATGTTCAACTTTGTGAAAAACTGCCAAACTGTTTCCACAGTCGCTGTGCTGTTTGCGGTTCCTACCAGCAATGTGGGAGGGTCACGGCTGTTCACACCCTTGCTAGCCGTGGCTATTGTCACCTAAAAAAATGCACCCATTTCATAGTGTATTTCCTTGTCATTTTCTTTTTTCTTTTTCTTTTTCGCTGTGATTTTAATTTGTACCTCCCTCATGGGTAGAGATGCTGAACATCTTTTCCTGTGTTTATTTGCTGGCCTTGTCTGCTATTGGGTGGAGTGCGCTCGTACTTACTGAATGTCAGTTGCCTCATATTCATATTGATGGAATTGTTTTAGTCTTAAAGTGAAATAATTCAAGTGAAAGCTTATTTCTCCCTCTTTTTTTTTTCTTCTTTTAAAACCCAGTGCCTGGAATGTAGCTGTTGTGCTCATTAAAAAAAAAAAATGGTTCTTGGGCAAAAAGTGACCTTAGGGACTATGAAAATCTGACAAATTGAACGTTGCTTTTCTCTCAGTGTTTCATGAACACTGGGGGGCTGGAGCCCCATATTTAAAGATCCATGGAAGAAGGAAGATTAGAAGGGGGTAGGATCTGAAAACTCGGATATGGAGATGGATGGCTGCAGACTGTTCTGGAGAGCTGAGGAAGTGTGCCACACAAAGAAATCAGCTCTTATCTTGGGAAGAACAAGGAATTATTAAGAATGTGAAGATGAGGAGGCCATCATTAGATCCAGAAACACAAACAGGACAGTCCCCTACCTTAATTAATTTTGTTAGTATGTTCTTCAGTGCCTACACTGTGAGCAGCATCCTACTAAGTAAAGAAAGGTGTCATCTCAAAACCCAAAGAATATGGAGGGTCAGCTCTACACTTCTACAGAATGAATGATCGGGGCATCTGGGTGGCTCAGATGGTTGAGCGTCCAAGTCTTGATTTCGACTTTGGTCATGGTCCCAGGGTTGCATGATTGAACCCTGCACTGGGCTCTGTGCTGAGCCTGGAGCCTGCTTGAGGTTCTCTCTCTCTCTCTCTCTCTCTCTCTCTCTCTCCCCCCTCGCCCTCTCCCTCTCCCTCCCTCTCCCTCCGTCTCCCTCTCCCTCTCTGTCTCTCTCTCTTTCCCTCCACCCCACCCCTGCTTGCATGGATTCTCTCTCTCTCTCTCAAATAAAAAAAAAAAAGAAAGGAAAAAGAAGATAAATGAATGATCATGTCAGGTGTAGCCATCTCTGAGGGGTTGCTAAAAGGCTCTACTGTCCCCAGATATTGTCTGAGTGAAGATAGCACAAGACCTGAAAACCCCAGCATTTGTCCTTGAGATTTGACCTTGATCATTTTCACTTACTCATCTATTGTTATGGTACCTGGATGTAGGATGGTATATTTTCTTGATCGTAGTAGCAGTCCCTTCCTTTCTCCTATTTCCTTTTTGCAGTCTTAGCTATCATGATTCCCCATGGAGGCACAATTATATTCTGATTATAAACAGCACTACTAAATACTGGGTACTAAAATACGTACCCTCCATTCATGTAACACATCTTGACTCAACACATCCTCCTGGAGCACCTATTGCCTGGAATTCCCAGGCCTGTGCTGTCGCTTGGGATAGATTTATGGGTGAGTGAAAGATACAGAGACCTTCCAGGATCCTGGTTTGTGTGCTGGCAGAGGGCAGAGGGCGAGAGCCCATGCATGACAGAAGTACATCATATGCTCTGTCAGAAGACTAAGTGCTACGTGCAGCACTTCTTTAAAGACGTTTCCCTGAGCTACCATCGCTGATTAACTTGGGTGTTGGGGCACCTACTCCACAGCCAGGGCCATTTATGGCACATGTGGGATTTGGTCCTTTGAGAAAGGACGTGTTGCTGTGAAGCTGTAATGACACAAGAAGGGTCCGTGGCCTGAGGAAGTGGGGAGCGCGGGGGCCTGCCTGCAGAGGGTCAGAGGCCACAGCCCAGCACAGGGGGTGACATAAAAAGGAGCCATTGCACCTTGTATCAGGAAAGCGATTTGTGCTCTCCTGGTACCGCGTTATTTCCTGCTGAACTTTCTGGGGAGCCAGGTTTGGGAAAGACGAAGCAGAACTCTCAGCCGTAAATACTGGCTATAATAGAAGTCTGACTGCTGTAGCTGTGAGCCCAGATCAATACCTTTTACAAGAGAACTGAATGGCCCTTGATGAAGCCGAAGCACGAATTGATCTTTTTTGTTTTATTTTGTTTTTAATTCCACTCTATTCCACAAATAGAGTCTCTTGATGTGTTACATTTGGATCTTTCACAATTTAATTTTGTTGCACAAAATATTCTTCTGTGTTTCCTTTCTCTCTTGGTAATAAAACATGCCTGGCTGGTTTTTTCAGGCACAGAGCTGCCTCTGTCCTGTTGCTTGCTTGAGCTTTGAATGTTATTAAAGAGAGAGAGCTCCCTTGGCAAGGCGTCCATTATGATGTGGGTTGGAAGAAAGCTCCCCTCAAAACACATTAATTTCTAGAATGTAAAACAGACTCTGTTTGACGACACAGTTTTCATCCGACACTTGAAACAGGGTACTGGGTTTTTTTTTTTCCCTCACAAGCCGAATAGAATCTTGTAATGCCACAAGCCATCAGATACTCCTTGCTTTCGAAGTTTGAATCACAACTCCTTTTCCTCTTGAAGCTAATGATTTCATTAGGATGAAGATTTTCTGCATATAATAGATGTCTTTGCTCCTTTACAGAGTTTGAGAGGTGGGTAACTGAGCCTTTAGTTAATTGGCTCTGGCTGATAGGCTGTGTGCTTAGGAAGACTCAGACACAACATCGCACACCCGCCGACACCCCCATTTTACAGCGTGCACCGGTTTGGACCCATGGGCAAGAGTTTGCCGATACATGGCGGAGATGATGAGAAACCGTATAAAATGTCACTTATAAGCCAGAACTTTAGAATCTAACACAGCTGGGTTGGCATCCTCACGTTTCCATCCTTCACTGTGTGATCTTGGGCAAGGGATTAACCTCTCTTATTTTGTTTGTCTGTCCTTGAAGACAGGGCAACAATGCTGACCTTACTAGGTTTTCTAAGGCTTGAGAATCATAGTGTATGTGAAGCATTTATCCTGGTTCCTGGCACATTGCAAATGATGTCAATGGTAGAAAATAATTATGTTAAATTATTTAGAACTTTAAAATTTAAATATGAAATATTAAAGCCCGCTGCCTTACTTTCCAATATCCTATTGTTCTTAGAACTTGTCTCTGCGTCCTCAGATATACAGACAGACAGGCAAATAAGTGACACATCTACCCAGGCTGCCCCAGCTTTTCAGGGCGACTGATGCTCTTTTGGGTGAGATAGCCAGTAATGAATGTTAGAAGTCAGGTGCTCAGGGCAGGAACAAATTTTCTCACATAACAAATACAGTACCCTTAAAGGAATCCTAATTTATCAAGAAAAATTTTGTAACAATTTTCCAAATCCTTTGCTTCTTTTAGCCTGTGCCATTGTAGTAGAAGGTGGATATGTTCTCCCCCATGATTTGCTGCAATCTAGTAACAGAACTGGGGGATGAAATGCAACGGGAGTCTCTAAAGTGTTTCTCTTGTTTTTAAGGTTCGGAAACAAAACATGATGCTCAGACAATTACTAAAGTCTATAGCCAAGTCTCTGTTGGGGGCACAAGATTTTTGCTTTCAAGTGTATTACAGAACAGAGCCTTAAGCAGTTTCTCCACTTTAGGTTTGAAAAGTGTATCGTGGTATTATTTATAAGTAAGAGTGTTCTCTCCCAGCTCATGCACAAATTCAGTCCTAATTCAAAATCTTCAACTTTTCCCTCAACTGTTATTATTTCAAGGGCATGCATCCATTTCACTTGTACAAAAGCAATTAACTTAAAGGATATAGTTGACAAAATAGAAACAACATAAAAGCAGCAGGGCACAGAGTTAAGAATTTACTGACCTGTGGACACTGGGCCCTGATCAGGGCTGGAAATTGCTGTGTCTCTTGTAGAATATGTCACTGGCCTTTCCATCAAGAGCCTCATTGTGCTTGGTAACCAACTGCATTAAAATGGTTATGAAGGGATCCTTTATCGTAATGAAATAGTATGTGGGTATATGTTGTTTAATAACCTATGGGCTAGTGAATGAAGAATTATATAACCCATGGCCTAGTGAAGAATTACAGATTAAAGTGACTTAACGGGCACATGAGTGGCTCAGCCGGTTAAGCATCCACCTCCTGATTTTGGCTCAGGTCATGATCTCACGGTTTCGTGAGTCTGAGCCCCAGTTCGGGCTCTGTGCCGACCATGCAGAGCCTGCTTGGGATTCTCTTTCTGTCTCTGCCCTTCCATTGCTTGTGCTCTCTCTGTCTCTCTGGAAATAAATAAATAAACTTAAAAATTTATAAAGTGACTTGAAAACCTAATCAATCAGCCACATTTCAGATGAGCAATGAGGTGGCCACCATTTCGGTCTGTTAAGGGCCATGTTCCGGGGGTCCGGGATGAGCCTGTCTGCTCTCTTTTCTGCGTTGACCAGGGAGCTCTCTCCCCTTCAAGCTTCCTTCTTGGTTATCACCACTCTTTTACGACAGTCTCAACCCAAGGACTTTTGACGTGAAAATTTCCCCATGCTCAGTTGTTTGCAGGGGTTTCCTGCATGGTGGGAGTCCCTTCCCGCTCTGGCGTGGCGTGGCAGGAAGGCCAAATTAGCAGCTCCGTGCTGGCAGAAGGAGGGTCTCAGGACCACCTTTGCCATGAGGTCTGCCTGGCTCTAGCCCCAGGTGGTAGTGGGTTTGGGAGGCAGGGATTTATTTGCTCGTTGTGGCAGACTTGCCAGTAGAGTCTGTTCGGCTGCCGCCCACACAGCACGCATCTCATCGCTGTTTCTTGTTCTATTGCCGCCACAGTCCGGAGAACACGTTCTTCCCCTTTCTCCCTGTGGCTTGTGATTATGTCACATTCAAAGAGAAATCATTAAAAGCATTAAGGAAATGCTCAATTCTTATTCATCCTTCGATATTGAGGCCTCTGCCTCCAAAAAGACTCCCTGGTCCTTCCTTGCACCTGGTTTGTCTGCAGGCTGTGCTTGCCTCTCCTGCGGGACCATTACGGTCCGTAATTGCCTGTGGGTCTTTTGCATGGGGTTCTGCACTTCTGTGTCTGGAATCAAGTCGGAGCTTAATGCATTTCTAAATGCGTCCTCACAGGGCAGTCACACATTTTGTGCATAGTAAATCTTTATTATCTGAGGTGATTCATGTGCAGTAGTCACACAATGGCAGGCACCAAATAAGTAGCTCGCTAGTCTTATATTAGTTGGGATCATCTGGCTGAAGGCAATGGAAAACCCAACAGCCAGAGGTTCACACAGAGAGGGATGGTTTTTGCCTTGCTCATCACGAAGCCGGCGAGGGGTGGGGGTGGGGGGTGTAGGAAATCATGATGGGCATGGCGGAGCCGTGGGTCCATGATGCCATCGGGGCAAATGCATTTTCCATTCTATTGCTCTACCTGGCACAGAAGGGCGCCTTTGTCTTCGTGGTTACGTGGCCTCAGAATGACTACTGTGTCTCCTGGCTCAGGTCTCTGTCTGGGCAGGAAGAAGGAGAAAGGGACAGAGGACCCAGTGGGCAGCTTTTCTAGAAGCTTCCCTTGTTCTGCGGCTTCCTGACTGGCCAGGACTGAGTTAATTACTGAGCCCAGGACGTGGAAGGGGCAGGATCACCAGCTCACAAGGTCTGTTAGAGGTGATGGTTGTACTCTGCCCTGGTCCTCTCAGTGGGCCCAGTGCTGACGGATGCCCTCAGGGTCCCCGGCCTCACCTTTCATTGCCCTTCTGAAGTCCCCTCCGTCTTTCCTTCTCTCCTGCTTTCATCCCTCTAGTCTTTCATATCACAGCTCAGTTTGGTCAGTGGGGCAGCATCAGCCTCCTGAGCTTGTTAGGAATTCAGTCTTTGCCTTCAGCCCCGACCTCCAGAATCAGAAACTGTGGCCTTGGGCCCAGTAATGTGCATTGTGACACGCCCTGCGGGGGCTTCCCTTGCGAGCTTGGGTTTATCCATCCCTGCTCTCTACTGTCTCTCTCTCTCTCTCTCTCTCCTCCCCTCCTTTCTCTCCCTTATTTTCCACCTCTTGCTCTGGTTGTTCCAGGTGACTGGTCACCAAAACACCAAAACATTCCAAAAATACTTGTATGCCTGGATGTTTTACAGTCTGCTGTTCAGCGAACTATCACGTGCGTTTAAATGTACAGCCCAGTTTTTAAAAATACTAGCTGATTGAGTGGTGTTTGGATTTGATAAGTTTTTTAGTGTACATGGCCCTTGATAAGGGGTTGAAAAGGAATTTGTAGTTCTTTTTTTAATTTTTTTTTTTTTTGGTTTATTTATTTTTGAGACAGAGAAAGACAGAGCATGAGCGGGGGGAGGGGCAGAGAGAGAGGGAGACACAGAATCTGAAGCAGGTTCTAGGCTCTGAGCTGCGAGTACGGAACCCGATGTGGGGCTAGAACCCACAGACCGTGAGATCATGACCTGAGCCGAAGTCGAACACTTAGCCGACTGAGTCACCCAGGCGCTCCAATTTGTAGTTCTTGATCAGCATGCAGCAAACAAGTTTGATTATTATTTTTTTTCATAGAAATATTTGATTATGTATTTGAACAGAGGTAGTGGGCAGTTAATTTTCACATTATGAAGACTGTGTGTACAAACACACACATGCACAGCTCGAGAATTTTGGGAGAGAATATTTCTAATCCTTTACTATAACTTTGGGTAAGGTGACAGTCCTGAAAAATAGCACTCATTAGGAAGAAACTGTTTATAGAATCAAATGTAGGCAACTTATTTTTAGAATGAACACCTTGCACTTGTAATAGGAAAAAAAAGTGACTGTATGTATTTGAGATGTGAGATAAAATTAGCATGAGAAGGAGAGGAACCATGCACATTGTGTGGGTGGGAATTTATTTTCCTTTTGGGTTCTAAGAGTCCCTGCTATGAAACTAAAAACTGGCCCTCTTCAAGAGAAGTTTCGTACCAGCTTTGTTTTATTATTATTCTTTATGCTATTATTTTTGTCTTGTAGATAGCAGCTTTCTGCCACAAAGACTCACAAACAGTTCTTCATATCTGACGTCAATATAACGTCTGTCAATTTCTGAACCTGCATATTTTGCAAAAATATCATGCACCAGCGTCTTCATTGTAGCTTGGAACAAGTTCAGGAAAATGTCCTCAGCTCCAAAATAGCTTTAAATAAGTTTCGGATGCTTTGGGAGGCAGGCTTGGCTCCATCCTCATTTCCCTTTGCCACTTGCAGGTAAGGATGGAGATCTGTGAGCATCAATGCCTGAACAGATCTGGGCCTATAAATAAACAGAGGAAGCTTCATTTTTCCATGCTATCTGGCCCTGAACCTTTTACACAGAGATGTGTTGTTTGAAAATAATGTAGGAAAGTCAAATGTAAAAAGCAAGAAAAACAGAGCAAGGAAAAATAGTGTCTAGTGCACTTAGAGCCTCACTCAACCGAGAGCTTTTCCCTCTGGCAAAGTTTAGAGCCCTGTGCACCATATTTATGGGATGCCTTGAGTGGGCTTTCGGAACGCATAGAGTCCAGAGATAAAACGGGAGGCTGGCTTCCCATGGGTTTGTGCAAGTTCCTGAGTAAGCTTCCCCAGGAATCGTGTCTGAACCTTTCAGTGACGATATGCATGTGTACAGCCACTGGTGATGAATGTGGCATCCCTTGACCAACCACACCCAGAGTTTTGGGACCCCTGCCTTTCTCTCATGTTTTGTTCTCTTCTCTCAACGTGAGCAAGCACCATGCCCTTCTCTTTGTTCCTCAGGCTTGCCATGCTTATCCACTCCTCAAGCCTTTGCACTTGCAGCATGCTTGACTTGGAACTCTTTCCCCCGGTACTCACACAGCTCTTTATTCTCCCTAGAGGACTTTCCGGGCCACTAAAGCTCAGGTAGCCTCTCTGCAGTCTCTCTCCCCTTCCTGGGCTTTCTTTTGTTTCACAGCACTTGTCTCAAGTTCTCATAATATATATTTTTACTTAGTTCTCTGTCTTCTCCATTAGAATGTAATTTTGATGGAACAGGGAATTTGTTTTACTTCTTGCTTTTAGACCTGATGTACACTGACTGTTTAAATGAGGATATGCTATGTAACTTCATGAATGAATGTGTGAATGTTCCTAATATAGTAATTTTCACTGGGGTGATGGGTCAGCCTTATATTAGTTGGGTATGACTCTACTCAAGGATTTTATCTGACTCTTCCAATGATAATATACATACGTACATGAAGTGGTCATTCATCCATGCATCCATCATCTACTTACCTATCTATCATCTATCATATCTATGTATCTATTCAGTAGTGCAATTACTGGATCATATGATAATTCTATTTTTATTTTTTTGAGGCACTTCCATGCTGTTTTCCACAGTGGCTGCACCAGTTTTCATTCCCACCAACAGTGCATGGGGGTTGCACTTTCTCCACATCCTCACCAACCCTGGTTTCTTGTGTTTTTGATTTTAGCCATTCTCACAGGTGTAAGGTGATATTTCATTGTGGTTTTGATTTGCATTTCCTTGATGATGAGTGATGTTGAACATCTTTTCATGTGTCTGTTGGCCATCTATATGTCTTCTTAGAACAATGTGTGTTTATGTCTTCTGCCCGTATTATTATTTGTGTGTGTGTGTGTGTGTGTGTGTGTGTGTGTGTTTGGGTGTTTGGTATTGAGCTTGTCAGTTCTTTGTATATTTGGGATACTAACCGTTTATCAGATATGTTATTTGCAAATCTCTTCTCCCATTCACTAGGTTGCCTTTTAGTTTTGTTGTTTCCTTTGCTGCACAGGAGCTGTTTATTTTATGTAGTGCCAATAGTTTATTTTTGGTTTTCTTTCTTTCCTTTGCCTCAGGAGATATATCCAGAAAACTGTTGTTAGGGTCAGTGTCAGAGAAATTAACTTCCTGGGCTCTCTTCCAGGATTTGTATGGTTTCAGGTCTCACATTTAGGTCTTTAAATTATTTTGAGTTTATATTTGTGTATGATGTGAGAACATGGTCCAGTTTCATTCTTTTGCTTATAGTTGTCCAAGTTTTCCAAAACTGTTTGTTGAAGACTGTCTTTTTCCCATTGCATATTCTTGCCTCCTTTATTAAAGATTAATTGATCATATTATTGTGGGTTTATTTCTTGATTTAGTATTCTGTTCCGCTGATTTATGTGTCTGTTTTTGTACTAGTACCTTACTGTTTTGATCACCATAGCTTTGTAGTATATGTTGAAATCTAGGATTGTGATACCTCCAGTTTTGTTCTTCTTTTTCAAAATTGCTTTGGCTATTTGGGGTCTTTTGTGGTTCCATACAAATTTGGCATTATTTGTTCTACTTCTGGGGAAAATGCTGTTGGTATTTTGATAGGGATTGGGCTGAATCTGTAGAGTGCTTTGAGTAGTATAGACATTTTAACAATATTTGTTTTCCCAGTCCATGAGCATGGGATATCTTTCCATTCCCCATTGTGTTTTCTTTAATTTCTTTCATCAGTGTTTTATAGTTTTTAGAGTACAAAGCTCTCACTTCCTTGGTTAAGTTTATTTCTAGGTATTTTATTATTTTTGGTGTGATCGTAAATGGGATTGTTTTCTCGATTTCTCTTTGTGCTACTTCACTATAGTGTACAGAAATGCAATGGATTTCTGTATATTGATTTTTGTGTCCTGCAAGTGTACTGAATTCATTTATAAATTCTAGTAGCTTTTTGGTGGAATCTTTCAAGTTTTCTTTATAAATTCAATGACTGGTGTCCTCTGCATCAGTATAAAGTCATCTGCAAATAGAAGCAAATAGGATTTTGATTCTTCCTTACCAATTTGGATGCCTTTTTTGAGTATTTTTTTAATTCTTTATTTTTGAGAGAGAGACAGAGTGCAAGTGGGGGAGGAACAGAGAGAGAGGGAGACACAGAATCTGAAGCAGGTTCCAGGCTCTGAGCTGTCAACAGAGAGCCTGACGTGGGGCTTGAGCTCATGATCTGTGAGTTCATTACCTGAGCTGAAGTTGGATGCTCAACTGACTGAGCCACCTGGGCACCCCAAGGATTCCTTTTATTTCTTTTTTGTTGTCTGATTACTATAGCTGGAACTTCCAGTACTATGTTGAATAAAAGGGTGAGAGTGGATGTCCTTGTCTTGTTCCTGATTTTAGAGGAAAAAAGCCTCTCAGTTTTTCACCATTGAAGATGATGTTAGCTGTGGGTTTTTCATATTTGGACTTCATTATGTTGAGGCATGTTCCCTCTAAACATCCTTTGCTCTGGGTTTTTATTATGAATGTATGTTGTGCTTTGTCATATGCTTTTTCTGCATCTATTGAAATAATCATATGGTTTCTGTCCTTTCTCTTATTGATGTGATGTATCATGTTGATTGATTTGCAAATATTGAACCATGCTTTCATCCCAGGAATAATTTCACTTGATTGTGGTGAATGATTTTTTACTTTTGTATTGTTGGATTCAGTGTGATAATATTTGAACATTTTTGCATCTATATGCATCAGAAATATTGGCCTCTGGTTCTCTTTTTTTGTGGTGTCTTTATCTGGTTTCAGTATCAGGACAACACTGGCCTCATAGAATGAATTTGGAATCTTTCCTTCCTCTTCCATTGTCTGGAATACTTTTAGAAGAATAATAGGTATTAACTAGTCTTTATTTTTTTTATTTTTTATTGTTTTAAAAATATTTTTATTTATTTCTAGGAGAGAGAGAGAGAGAGAAACAGCATGAGCAGGGGAGGGTCAGAGAGAGAGGGAGTCACAGACTGAAACAGGCTCCAGGCTCTGAGCTGGCAGTCAGCACAGAGCCCGACACGGGGCTCGAACCCACGAACCGCGAGATCATGACCTAAGCGAAAGTTGGATGCTTAAC